TTTTTTTTTTTTTTTTTTAATTTGGTATGATTTTTTTCTTTTTCAGCAGTATGGAAAACACTAATAACTCATGAAACAAAGTGTACTAGAAGATGCTTAATTATATTCTGTGCTTCAGGCAGGCCTCTGTATTTATAGTTCTTGATTGTCCATGCTGACTCAGTCCACAAGCTTCAGTTTTAACAGAACTCCTGCCAGAACTGCTAGACCAAGACTGAAGAGTGGCTGCTTCGTGGTATGAATGAAATTATTTTGGTGTGCTTCTGCCCAATAAGAATGCTTGTACCAGGCCGTGCTGAAAGCTGACCTAGCCCAGCACCCATCCTGTAATAACAGATGCCAAAGGAAAGCAAGAAGGTCCAGCAAAGAGTATAACACTGCTTTGGTAAACTGTTCCAGCAGAGATTTTCACTCAAGGACTCACTGAGTCTGTCGTGGCTTTGATAGCTAAAGGGTTTTCTTCTGTGGGTTTGTACAATTGCATTTTGAGCCAGTGAAACGTTCATGATTTTTTATATCTGCTGATCAGCTAGCCTGTGTAGCATGGTGAGGTACCTTCCGATATTTACTTGGAACTCTTCACCACATTTGATGTTCTCTGCAGCATCAGGACAAAGCAGAAGCAGCAGTTCTGTATTCGTGTACACCAGTTTTATATACCTCTCTTCTGTCTCCATTAGTCAATTTTGCAGATGCAATCTGTTAGGATTGTCTCTTTTGTGGAAGCTATTCCATTTCCTCTGTTATCCTTGTCATGTTAATGAACTTTTTTTCAGTTCTCATGTATTTGATCTCAGACAAGTGAAGGAGGGAGAAGCCCTGTACAGTGTGTTTAAAGTACTTGTGTGCCATGGGTTTATAGAGGGCAAAAATGGATGCTTTTTTGTTTGCTTTGCTACTAATTCAAAACTCTGTTTTGTTTAATTTTTTTAACCTTTACTGAATGCTGAGCTGTTATTTTCATTCTTATTGCAACTGCAGGAGCTCTTTTTAGCATGTTAGTAGCTACTCAAGAACTTGTCCTGTAAAGTTTGAATTTCCCTTTCCCCCAGTGCCTCTCTTGACACCTATCTGTACTGAACTTCATCTGTCATGTTCTTGTTCAGGCACTTTGGTATCAGGAGTTTCTGCTGCTGCACTTGCAGTTCGTATTTTGAAACCACAAAGACATATTTGCTGTCTAAACACAGGCTGTGGTAAATTGAGTTAGTTTCTGAACTACCAACAAAATTTATTGTCACCTGATACAAAGAAAAATTACAAAATTTTCTAAAGCATATACTGATTTTGAATCTGCAGCATGAAATATGTAGATGACTGAAAACGGAGAGGCAGTTCTTTGCTCAGAGGAAAATAACAAATGACTCTTCTCTGTGCTTTAATTGACCACTTTATATTGTCACAGAATTATTATCAAATAAAATTATTTTCCTAAAACGTTGCAAGATCCAGAGAGTTCAATCTGGAAGTTCAAATAGCTTTCACAAGAAATGTTGTTACAGTGTGCACTGATCACCAACGTCACAGGTAAAAGTCTAACGTTGACAAGGATAGAACAAGCATTTGTACCGATCTGGTTAGAGTTGTGTTGGTTGAGAAATGTGCTATGTTGAACATACTGTTCTTTTTGTGTAGGTAAAGAAGTTCCACCAGAAGATTAACATATTTTGTATACATTTTGTTCAGCCAAAATATGAAGACTAGAATTAATGAAATTGGTTTATTTTCAGAAAAATCACTTCATCTGTGTATAACTTAGCACTACAGAGACACACATTATACTATAATAACTCCCATGTTCTTATGCCTGTCTTAAACTACTTTTGCCTCCTTAATGTACAAAGCATTTGTTAAGGTTTCTAAAGGTGAAACAGCCCTAAGAATTAATTATCCTATAATTGTTATTTGGTCAGTGCCTTTTTTCTTTATTGACCAGACACAGACAGAAATATCTCAGCCCTATACTTTTGAGGTTACAGTTCTTTCCTTTGATCTTTGAAAAAGTCTTGAGAAAATGCTGGTCTAGTGACTATATTAGGTTTTGTTTCTGCTAAACAAACAAAAAAATCTTGCTGAGATCACATCACTCTATACACATTCTGGACCAAAACATGATAAGCCAAGCCAACAAGAGTTCCTTTGTTACTCTGAAAGAGATTGTTAAACTTTCAGTACAGTTTCTAAACAAAATGACAGTCTCACTCAGGCTTTGTTGCAAATTTTTTTTTCCTTGGGTGAAGAAGTTGAAGAAGTAGACTGGAGTTTATGCAGTCTATTTAAAGGACTGAATTAAAACAGAGGAGAACAGGAATCGTCAGTAGAAACCTTTAGACAGCTGCCTAGCAGACCCAAGATGGAATGATACGGGTTTGTACAGAAAAGCTACTATCACCTGAAAAACGATCACTGGCAAAAGAGACCTCTTTGAGGAAAAGAAAACTATTATTCTTTTGTTTGCTTAAAAGGGGTTGTGCCTGCCAGATAAAGGTGCACAGATTCAGTTTCTTGTTTCATATAGTCTAGGACTTTTCTGTTCACAAGGTTGTTTTGCATTGGTTTCTGATTTACAATAGGATTTCTTGAAGCCTTTTTAATATCAGGAGTCTTTTCAAGAGTGTAATTAAGAGGTTAAAAGCCTTCTCAAAAGCAGTTTCTATAAGATAACAACTTCTTCTACTTATTATGTTTAGGTCTGCAGGTGGCATGATTTCTCAAAGCCTCTTAACCCTTTGCTTTAAGTTAGCATCTATGCGGGGGAGAAAAAAGCTGGTGATGGGACTCAAGTCTCTTCCTTTTGTGATTTTACTCAAGAAAGGCAGTCATGCAAAGGGGTAAACCATAGCAGCTACCTTGATACCTTAATCAATGTGAAGAGGATTATGTTCAAATCCTTTTATAGAAGTATCCATGTCTAATTGTGCAGGTGTGCATAATGTACATATGCGCACATTAATATTCCATGTTCACTCATAATGCAAGTTCATCACAAATTTTTGCAAGCAGGGTATTTCTGAATGATATGCTCTCCCTATTATCCACTTCCAAGCTAAAAGATGGCAGTATTGGTGTCAATATTGATAGACCCATTAATTGATGTTAAGTGTGGTACAGAGAACAAGAGCTGATGTGTTGCAGGAACAAGCAACAATTTCTTCCATCTTATTGTCCAAGTAGTACTTTTGCCAGTATGTAAAATGGTATGACACATTTGAGTGACAAATATTCATAAATTTCTTAAGGCTTGATTTACCTCTAGAACAGATCAGTCTTATTCAGACAGCAGATATTACTCAATAATTACTATAAAATGAGAAATAGACACAAAAGTTAACCAAAAACGTGTAAGATTTCTGAATTTCACCATTGACAGGAAAAATCTATGAAAAAACCTTAACAAATGAATGACAAATTTTTTTCTGTCACTGAAGCAATGATTGAACAATATTAAATAATAAATAATATAAATAATATAAATATTAAAATATTCTCCAGTTTTATAAAAGTCTTTGTAGTTCAGTAGTCAAAACCAGCGATGCGCTGCTTTGATTAATAAATCAGTTCAGCTGTCAGAGCTTGGGCAATGTTTGCATAGGACTCTAGTTCCCTCTGTGGCAGGTGAATTAAGGAAGTAATGAGCACATGCTGATTTTGGGATGTGGTTTTGAGCAGAAGGGTATCTGTATTATTGTATGGGCTGTAATTTTCCTCTGATATCTAGTGTGAACACAAATTATCCAGATTGCTAGTCCTAACAATTCAAATGGCATTTATTTCTGTCAAGCACAAAATAGTGTGCAGATACCTTGATTGAAAGGGAGGAACACACAATCACTGATGTGTCACAACTTAGTACTTGGCAGCAGGGTTCATAGAGTCACTTGAATACTCTCATCCCTATTGGTCACCTTAAGCAAATGTATTTCTTTAGTACAGACTATAAGCAGGAAATCTCTGGATTCTGTGTTTTGCACATCATATCTCCATTCTGTGTTTAAATCGAGAAAACTTATAGTGATTTTTAACATATATGTATAGTTCAGAAACTTCACATACATGTATTGATATGTCATTTTCAATTAGCAGCTTATTTTCTGACAATTTCTTTTCATTTAATGCAGACATTTGTTTAAATAGGTATCTTAGTTTCTCTAGTACAATCATCTTGTTTTCAAATACACCCTCTATATACCAGAACTGACCAGAATTGACATATAATTTCAGTATTTTCGAGCAAGAAGGGATTGGTCAAAAACAGGCAAGGCTATATCAGTAATCTTTTTTTTACTATTTTCCCGAACATGTTACTATATATTTTATATTACTAGCCACTGAAAAGTTGCAGATCTCCATTTTCAAATGTTGCTAAATGAAGAAGAAAGGATAATTAGCATTGCAGATGGAAAAGCAAAGCTTCTGCTATTCTTTTATTGGAACTATTGTAACACAGCCCTTTGCAGTGAATTCTATAGATGAAACTTCTTTCCGTTTATTTTCTTGTTTAGACATCATTGTTAATGAGCAGCTCTTACTGCTGTGTTGCCAGATACACAGGTAGTCAAAATTAATAA